GACCCCCGTAGTAGAGAGTTCTCCTTCCTTCCTTATGTACATGAGACCCATAGAAGGATGGGCCCTGGCCAGGTGGGCTCAGCACCCAGGCCCCCAGATGGTCAGACCGGTAGATTCTCAGTAGGGACCCTTTCTCTTACAAGTTAAACAGAAGAGCAAGTACGGTGATCCGTCATGCATTCATGCACCCTGAGACCTGCCCTCCTGGACATTCTATACAGAACTGTATAGCTCCTGCAGGAGCTGGGGGGCTACTACCAGTCTGGGCCCAGGCCAAGCATTTTATGGGTCTGGGGATCAAAATGAGACTTGATTTCAAGCCTCAGCTCTGCCCCTTACTAATGCTGAGCCTTGGCCGAGGGCAGGAACTGGCTAACTGGCTGCCTCTTCCTCGAGGGCCGGGCCAGCCAGGGGAGAAGCCAACTGAGGGAGCCTCCAGGGGGCTGAAGCCCTCCAGCCACAACTGATAACAGGGGCCCGATGCCCATGGCTTTTCAAACTCAGACCCCAGGCTTGGGCAAATCAGGGAAGACCCTTCCAAATCAGGCAGTTGGTGGCCTGTCCTCAGGCCTGGACATTTCTTCCTTTGGGCTCAAAGATAAACCCACAGGTGAGTCAGCTGGGAAGAAGGGGGTACCGGGTGGGGGGCCACACTCTCTCTGGAGGCAGGGGGCCCGGGGCCAGCCCAGTTCTGCCCTCACCCCCTGCTGAAAGACCTCTCCTCAGGATGCTCTCTCTAGCCAAAGGGAGGGTCCCCAAAGCCTGTTGGGAGGGACCTCCTTCCTCCCTGCAGAGTTGATTTAGAGCTGCCCCACCAGGAAGGAAGCCCCCTCATCAGAGCCAGGGCCCATTGGCCTGCTACCTAGGGAGGGTTTCCCCAACCCCCTCCCCAGAGGAGGAGCTAAGGGTGGACAGGCGAGGGGGTCTGCCTGAGGGGCCAGAGACCCATTTTCAGGACTGGACACAGCAAGATGGATGGGATGTCACGCTGAGGGAACAGGGGGTGCAAAGTGAGGAGGCCCGCTCATCTGTGTCGCAGTGTTCAGAGACCTCTGGCACCCCAGCAACCAGAGTGGGCCCAGGGGACACTAGGAGCGAGGCGCGGCTCTAGGCCCAGTTCCGCTACCAAGCGGCTGTGACTTCTGGCTGCAAGCCTCAGCTCCCTCAGCTGTAAAGTGTGGTGGGGCCTCCACCTCCCAGGTGTGTTGGGGAAATCATATCAGTTGAGAAACACGAAAGACGGTAAATCTTATGTTCAGTGTTTTATCACTAAGAATAACTAAATAGGCAGGAGGAATCTTTGGAGGCGGCGATGTGTTCATGGCGTAGCTCGGGGCGCTGGTTGCACGAGTCTGTGTAATCGCCAAACTCATCAGGGTGCATACAATAGACACGTGCAGCCTTTTGAATGTCATCGTGCCTCAGCAAAGTGGCCTTTAAAAAAAAAAAAAGAGCTTCCGGACCTACAATCACATGAAGTTTGTTAGAAACATCAGAAGTTTGATCTAGGAAGGAAAGGCTCAGTCCTCCTTTTATAGAAGGGGAAACAGAGGCCCAAGGGCACCCCGCCTTCTCCACACTGGCTCCCACCTGGTGCCAGTGGTTGGGGTGGGGGAAAGAGAGGCACAGGCTAGGAGTTCCGAGGAGCCCTGCCCAGAGGGGATGGTGGCCCGAGACAGATAGCAGGGGTGCCAGTGAGACTCTTGCGCCCAAAAAGTCTCCCCATCTACGCCACATGCCAGGATATCCACCATCAGTCCTCAGGGAGCCATCAGGCGTTTACTCATCACTGTGGGCTTTGGATCTCATCAGAAAGCAGGTTTTGAAATAGGGAATCCTGACCACCTGGACTGGGAGAGGACTCTGGAGAGGAGAGTTTAGCACAGGGCGGGTCACGGGGGCCAAAAAGGGGCAAAGGGAGGGGCGACAGTGGACAGAGCCTGGGGAGGAGTGGGAAGCTGTCGGGGAGGTTCCAGGGCAGTTGGGCTGCCCAGAGTGCCCCCCACAGTGGGATGGGACCCAAGTCCTGAACCCAAAGACTCCTCACAGTGTCGCAGCTCAGAGCGGCTGGGGCAAGAGCCGTCAGGGAGGCCTTCCTGCAGCAGGTGGTACCTGAGGTCCTAGAGCAAGCACAGGAAGCAGCCAGGTGATGTAGAGAAGAGGACGGACCCGTGGCAGAGGGGTGGGCGGCAAAGCGCGGTTTGGCTTTGCTGGAGGCCCCTGGGGGAGGAAGGAGAGTTTTGAATGCCAGCCTCCCTGGTTGGCCCTGGGGAGCCTCTGCAGGGTTTCATGAAGGGTGACAAGGTCAGGTCTGCTTTCCCACAGGATCCTTCTGGCAGCAGAGGGGGTGAAGGACTAGAGGGCCTGGTGGGGCTAGCCCCCGCACTCATGGGAGGTGAGTCAGGACTGGCTTCAGGAGCCGTCCCAGAGAGGAGATAGGGGGTGGGACGGGCAGGAGTTGGTGGCAGACCAGACAAGGGGTGTGAGGGAGAGAATGAACAGGATGATGTCCCAGAACATGCCTGGGGCTGTGGGCTGGACCCCCTGAGAAAGGGGATTGAGAGGCAGACCCACAAGGGTGGCAGGGTGGGGAGGCGGGGAGGTCAGCGGCAGGCAGGTTGCACGTTACACGGGTTACATGGGAGGTGTGTGCACCCTCCTCACATCTCACCTTCCTGGTCGTCCCTCGTGTGGAGTCCTGGTGATGGGCCACCGGGCCTCAGAAGCCCCCAGGGCCCTCAGGACCATACTCCTGTCTGTGCTCTGGGCCACAACATCTCACCCTGTCACTAAAAGTTGGCCAGCAAGAAAGTGTCCCAGTCTGACAGGGGAGGCCCATCCCTGTCCCAGAAAGCCCCAGACCTGAGGGGCAGCATGGCTGGGAGCTCCCGGTATGATAAGGAAACATGAGTGCTTTCTCCTCAGCCTGTACTACTGCTGAGCTCCCCTCAGCTGATCTCTCTTTCCTAAGACAAGGCTGGAAGCACACCTCCCCCAGGAAGTCTTCCTGGCTTAGCCCTGTCTCACACTCAGGGTTGAGCTCCCACCCGTCTGAGCTGAACCCCTGGAGCCCAGACCAGATAGGCTTCCTGAGAGCAACCCCTTCCTCCCCCGTCATGGGTGTCACACACCCACACCTCCCTCTCCCCTCTGCATCCAGAGCCTGCCCGGGCCAAAGCCACCCTCACTGTCCCTATACACCCCATGTATAGAGGCTGTAGTGGGTTTATTGGTGGCCCCCAAAAAGGTATGTCTAAGCCCTAAGCCCTGGAAGTTGTGAGTGTGACTTTATTTGGAAACAGGGTCTTTGCAGATGTCAGTAAATAAAGAATGTTCATATGAGATCATCCTGGATTACCCAGGTTGGCCCTAAATCCAATGACAAATGTCCTTATAAGAGACAGAAGAGAAGGCCAGGTGAAGGAGGCAGAGATTAGAGTTTTGCAGCACCTAGAGCCACCGGAAGCTGCCAGAGGTGAGGAAGGGGTCTCCCCCAGAGCCTTCGGAGGGAGCACGGCCCTGCCAACACCCTGATTTCAGACTTCTTGCTCCAGAACTGTGGGAGAGTACATTTCTGTTGTTTTAAGGCACCCAGTTTGTGATAGTTTGTATGGCAGCCCTAGGAAACGAATAGAGACTTAAAAACAGCCAGCGAGCCATTCTCAGAGGTCTGTGTTGGCCACGGTGTGAGCGGACCGAGTGCTGTGTCCAGCGAGAGGCGCCATTGTCCTGCCTCCAGGCGCAGGCCCCACGTGAGAGAGGGGCATGGACAAACTGGAGGGAGCCTAGAGAGAAGGGACCCGCTGGGGACCTTGGGGGCTCAGAGAGTAGGGGACAGGAGGGCCCAAACGAGAAGGGGAGCACACATGAGGTATGCCCAGTCTAGTGTGTGGAAGTCCCTCCTCTACACAAAGCTCACACTTGGCCCTGGGGCCAGAGCAGGGTTTGCTGGGCTCCTGGTGCCTCTGAGATCCTCCAGCCCTGACAGCCCAGCAGCCACCTCTGACCACCCTGCTGTCACCTCAACCCAGCAGGGCTGGAGCTAGCCCAGGCCAGATGCCCTTGGGTGGAGGGGGCAGCACTCCTGGGCTCCAAACCACACGGTCTTGACTGGTTCCCGCCTTCACCCCCACACCCGAGGCTTTGGGTTCAAGCACGCCCACCATCATCACATTCCTGCCCCTCCTGTCAAGCCTCACCTGAGCCATCCCCGGCCCTCCTCTCTGCCTCTGGCTGTTTCTGCACCTTCCAGGTGGGTGCAAACGTCCCCTCCTCCACGAAGCCTTCCCTGACCCCATCTGCTTCTCCACCAGGCCCAGAGCAGTAACGAGACAGGGGTGAAGTGGAGAGAGCCAGTTTGCCACAGATCCACTGATCTTGGATAAGCCCCCCAAAGTCTCCAACCCTAGGTGGCCCACCTCTAAAGTGGGGTGATCACTTCAACAGGGCCTCCCACAACCTCATTCTCCTGCTTCCAGTTCTTCCCTTTCTCCCATAAACATCACATAAACGCCCCCTGATCCTTCAAAAGTCCCCACATAGTAGGTGCTCAATAAAACTTGCACCTCCTTGGGACTCTTCACTCCTCATTACTGCATGTACAGCGGGCCTATTGGATGGACCAACACCCTGTCCTCCATGCCCTTCCTGCTTTGACAGATCCCCCAGGGGGAGCTGCAGCCTGGGTTTGGGGCATGAGGCCTGAATTCCCCTGTTTGTGTTGAGTTACATCCCTTTGGCTCCAGAGCAGGGATCTTGGGCAGCCCAGACCAGGAGGAAGGGTCCGGCCTAGGTGTCAGGAGACCCGGCTCCAGGCTGGTCCTGGGAAGGTCCTAGGAGAACGAGGAGTCGCCATAGGGCCAGGCTCCCTGGGGCAGGGTTGGCGTGCATTTAAGTGCACTGAGGGAGCCCCACCACTTCTCTCGGCTGCTGCCTGCCTATGCTCGAGTGAGTATCAGCTCAGGGGTCCGCTCAGGTGGGCAGTGGGGGCCAGGGAGGCGATGGCGGGTATGGGGGACAAGGGGGCCGGCACAGGAGGAAGGACAACTTGGACTCACACCGCTGACTGTCATCCCCTTTCTCTGGACAATCACACCACAACCCCATCAGCACCCATGTTCCGCCCCACCCCACCCCCCAGCTCCTGGTCTTTCAGAAGGAAATTCTCTCTAAGCCTAACCTACATCCCTCCTCTTTGAACTGAGCCCCATCAATGGTGGGAAATCTGCAGGAGCTTCGTTTATCCTCTCTCTCCCACTCTCCCGTCTTGTTTTCCTTATACTTTTCTTCCCTGGGACTCTGGCCAAGCCCGTGTCTCCCTCAAGGTGTGCTGACTGTAAGCAGGACCCTGGCTTTGGAGTTCTGAGCCCACCCCCACCAATTCTCAGCTTCTGCACCCACCTCCCCCTCCTCCAGCTCACTTGAGCTTCGACCCTCAGATTAGATGTCCTCTGCTCTGCGGAGCCTTTCCTGTGCCCAGAGGCTGAATTAGAGGTCTCCCCTGAACCCCCACAGCACTCTGGTTCTTCGCCGTTGGACTCTTAGCATTGTGGGCATTGAAACCCCAGGTAATGCACTCATCGAAGCCCCAGTTCCTCGCAGAGTGCCTGGTACCTAATAGATGTTCCAAAAAATATATTGAAAGAACAAATACATGAATAAAGGGTGACTTCCTACGTCTGACCCTCAGTCATAACACCTGCTTATAGAGACGCTACGGCTACTAAGTGAGAGGGAGACTTTAACAGAGCCCAGACTACGGGAGGCCCTCAGAAAAAATGTGAGTTTTCCCTCTGCTCCTTTGCATGAAAACAACTTCAAGAAGACAGCTGTTCCTCCAAGTTAACAGAGGACAGAGCTGAGCCCAAAGGGGGGACACTACGTAAAGAGGGATTTCGGGCCTAGGGGAGGAAAGATGTTCAGGGGAGGCCACCCACGCGGGGAGCTGCTGGCCTGACGTGTAGTTTCATGTGGCTGTGCATTCGTGATTGTCGACGTCTCGCCTGCTCCCAGAGGCCCACAGAGGAGTCACTGCTGGGAGGCTGGCAGCTCCATCTTCCTTTTAGGCTTCGTGGGTGCGAGCAGAGAATCTTCCCTCTCAGCTGCCCTATGTTTCTGAGTTTTTGATGTCAGTGAGGCGACTGCCTGGCAGTGAGTGAAGTCTGAGCAGTGAGGGTAGGAGCCATGTTTTTGTTCCGGGACTCAGTCTGGTAGAAACACTTCTCCAGGAGAGGGTATGTCTGTGGATCCCAGTGTGTGTCACTGAGTGTTTTAGTGAGTGTGTATATATGTTGGTTTCACACACATCCTAAAGGACTACACTGCTTAACTCCACACAGTGATCTGACATGAGCCTGACTCAAAACACCACCAGCTTATAAATTCATTTATTGGGTTGAGATATTTAATTGCATGATTAAAATGCAAATCACCCTATAGGAATCTATGTTACTAAATTTTAAATTCTTAATGAAATGGGCAAATTATCAGAAGGATGTCGTTTTCCAAAGTTACTTAAGAAGAGATTAAAAGCCTGAGCAGATTAATTGCCATGAAAGAAATCTGAAAGTGTTACTGTACAGTGATCAGCTGAAAAAGTCTGGGCCCACCTTGTTTTCTTGGTGAGTTTTCCCCCAAACTCTCAAGAGATGAATAATTCCTGTGCTATAAAACCTGTTCTAGAAAATAGAATTTAAAAAGGAAATTGAATCAATTGGTTATGAAGTTGGCATAACTGTGATAACCAAAACCTCTAAAGATAGTTCCAAAAAAGAAACCTGTAGATCTATTCTAAATAAAATACTAGCAAATCAATTTTAGCAGAATTTAAAAGAATAAACACTGTGTAATATATCTACTTGTCAACAAGTCAAATTTTAAAAGTATTGGCTCATTACAGTTGGTTCCAAAAGGCATTTGAAAACATTAAACACAAATTCCTATTTTTTATTATTAAAACTAGAAACAGAACAGTATTTTATTAACATAAAAAAGAATATCTCAAATGAACAAGCACCATCATACTTATTATTATAAATAGGAGTTCTAATAAAATTGAGGAAAAATAAATATACCTTTTCTTATCATTATTCTTTAACATTGTCATGGAAGTTCTTTTTTTATTAAATAAAGTGTAATTTTTATTTTTTGTTTTGTTTTTTTTTTTTTTTAGAGAGAGAGAAAGTACAGGTGAGAGCAGGAGGGAAGGGGCAGAGGGAGACTGAGAGAATCTTAAGCAGGTTCCACACTCAGTACAGTGCCCAACACCGGGCTCAGCCCGGGGTTTGATCTCACAACCCTGAGATCATGACCTGAGTCGAAATCAAGAGTCGGACGCTCCTTTTTTCAACTTTTTGAGGAACCTCCATACTGTTTTCCAGAGTGGCTGCACCAGCTTGCATTCCCACCAACAGCGTAGGAGGGTTCCCCTTTCTCCGCATCCCCGCCAACATCTGTCCTTTCCTGACTTGTTATGGAACTGGAGAGTATTATGTTGAGTGAAATAAGTCAAACAGAGAAAGACATGTATCATATGATCTCACTGATATGAGGAATTCTTTTTTTTTTTTTTTTTTTAGATTTTATTTATTTATTTGAGACAGAGAGAATGAGAGACAGAGAGCATGAGAGGGAAGAGGGTCAGAGGGAGAAGCAGACTCCCTGCCGAGCAGGGAGCCCAATGCGGGACTCGATCCCGGGACTCCAGGATCATGACCTGAGCCGAAGGCAGTCGCTTAACCAACTGAGCCACCCAGGCGCCCGATATGAGGAATTCTTAATTGCAGGAAACAAACAGGGTTGCTGGAGTGGGGGGTGGGGTGGGCGGGATGGGGTGACTGGGTGATAGACACTGGGGAGGGTATGTGCTCTGGTAAGCGCTGTGAATTGTGCAAGACTGTTGAATCTCAGATCTGTACCTCTGAAATAAATAATGCAATATATGTTAAGAAAAAAAAAAAGAAGAAGAAGAAGAAGGTAGCGGGAGGGGAAGAATGAAGCGAAGGAAATCGGAGGGGTAGACGAACCATGAGAGACGATGGACTCTGAAAAACAAACTGAGGGTTCTAGAGGGGAGGGGGTGGGAAGATGGGTTAGCCTGGTGTTGGGTATTGAGGAGGGCACATTCTGCATGGAGCACGGGGTGTTATGCACAAACAATGAATCATGGAACACTTCATCTAAAACTAATGATGTAATGTATGGGGATTAACATAAGAATTAAAAAAATATTAAAATTTAAAAAATATAGAGATTTCTAAAATTCTGGAAAAAAAATTTAAAAATTTTTAAAAAATAAAAAAAATAAAAATAAATAAAAAAAAGAGTCGGACACTCAACCAACTGAGCCACCCAGGCTCTCCTGAAATAAGATATAAAACAGAAATAAAAATCTAGTTTAAAAAAAGGAAGGATAATTCTCCTTTGAATACCCAATAAAATCAACTGAAAAAAGTTTTCAGTTAATAAGGAAATTTTTAAAGTATAATATATAAAATATATAATATATAAGATAAATGTAGGGGCGTCTGGGTGGCTTAGTTGGTTAAGTGTCTGCCTTCAGCTTAGGTCATGATCCCAGGGTTGTGTTTCGAGCCCCACACCATGCTCCCTGCTCGGCGGGGAGCCTGCTTCTCCTTCTCCCACTCCCCCTGCTTGTGCTCTCTCTCTTGCTATCTCTCTCTCTGTCAAATAAATAAATAAAATCTTTTTTTAAAAAAAGGATAAATGTACAAATGTACAAAATCAATAACTTTCTATATAAAATTGTTGCCAATTCAAAAATATAATAGAAAATTATTGTATTCTTAATGGTAACTAATAGCAAAACACCTACAATGAACTTAATAAGAAATATGGGAGACCTATTCATTACTCAACAAATACTGAGTATCTATTATGTGTCAGGTTCTGTATTTGGTGCCTGGAATATAAATGTGAGTGAAGTGGATAGAGTGTTTGCTGCTGTGGCCCTATACAAATAAAACTAAGAAACTGCTGAGAGATATAAATCAAAGCTTTTTCCAGACACCATACTTTGATACTGAATGGAAAGACTGAACGTTGTCAAGACATCAGTCGTCCATAGAATAATTTATAGGATTAATGAAATCCCAATTTTTAAAAAATCACAATAGGATTGTTTTTGAAAATTTGCAAAATGATTCTAAAGTTTGGAAGAATAAAACTTGAGAATGACAAAAAAATAATTTAAAACAAGAGTACTTATAAAGTTGTTTCATTAAAAATCAAAATAAGTGATGAAGCTATAGAGATTAAAATAGTACAGTACTCTCTTACAACTCAATAATGAAAGACAACTCAATTAAAAACAAGCAGAGGATTTGAATAGACATTTCTCCAAATAAATAAACAAATGGCCATTAAGCACTTCGAATGAAACATGCACATGAAACACACACAACATCGTTAGCTCTCAGAAAAACACAAATCAAAACATGTTGGATGAGTAGAATTTTTTAAAAAGACAGGTAATAGTAAGTGTTGACAAGGATGTGGAGAAACTGGACCCCTCACACACTGCTGGCTGGAATATAAAATGGTGCAGCTGCTTTGGGAAACAATCTGGCAGTTCCTCAAAAGATTAAATAGAGAGTACATAGATACCCAGCAATTCCACTTCTAGAAATGGAAACATCTGTTTACACAAAAATTTGTGTAAACATTATTCAAACTAGCCAAAAAGTGGAAACAACGCAAATATCCACCAACTGATGAGTGGATCAATAAAAGATGGTATATCCAGACAATGGAGTACTCTCCAGCCACTAAAAAGAAACCATATATGCATGGCTACAACATAGATGAAACCTGAAAACATTATGCCAAGTGAGAAAAGCCAGCTGTGAAAGACCACAAGCTGTATGCTTCCATCTATATGAAATGTCAAAGAATAGTCAGATCCACTGACACAAGAAGTAGTTGCCTAGCGCTGAGGGGACTGGGGGACATGGGGAGTGACTACCAGTGGGTAAAGGATTTCTATTTGGGGTGATGAAAATGTTGATTGTGGTGATGGTTGTACAGCTCTGTGAATTTACTAAAAAACCGTTGAATTGTACACTTAAATGGGTAAACTGTATGGTATGTGATTATACCTCAATAAAGCTTTTATTTAAAAAAAAATAGCCTGGTATTTGCACAAGTGCAATCAGAATATCACTACCTATAAAACAACCCCATCACATATAAGAGCTTAATCTAGGATAACGATAGTAACACAAAGCAATGGAGAAGATGAAACAAGAGCAATTATTTAGCTACTTGGGGAGAAATATATCAAGTTAGTTTGTCACTTTGTGACAGAAATGAATTTCATGTGGATCAAAATTTAATATGAAAAAATTAAACCATATTTTAAAGAGGAACACTTTGATCTTTGAATGAGAAAGACTTGCTAAGCTTAAAACCAAGAAAAGAACTCACAAATGCCAATAGATTTCATTTTATAAATTTAAAATTCTTAGTCTTAACATCAGAAACAAAATAAAAATACTAACAAGACTTAGAAATTTTGTTTCAGTGGATAAGAAAGGGACAATAATTTTAATAATTAAATTGCTGCAGGAAATAGTCCCTTATATACCTGGGCAAAGTATAATGAACAGAAATTTCACAAATGAGAACCTGCAAATTAAAATGAGATTGTGGAGTGCCTGGGTGGCTCAGTTGGTTAAGCGTCTGCCTTCGGCTCAGGTCATGATCCCAGGGTCCTGGGATCGAGTCCCACATCGGGCTCCCTGCTCAACGGGAAGCCTGCTTCTCCCTCTCCCACTCCCCCTGCTTGTGTTTCCTCTCTTGCTGTGTTTCTCTCTGTCAAATAAATAAACAAAATCTTTAAAATAAATAAATAAAAGGAGATCATATTTTTCAATCATGAAATTACTAAAAATATTCTTAAATCATAGTAATTTAATACTAGCACCAGTGACCCTGCAACAAGACTGATACAACATTCTCATTATATTTGAAATGCAAAGATTTATTGAAAGATGTGTATCTCATTAAATTATGACCCTTAAATCCTCCTTTTTTCTCCAGGAATATTGACTCATGAAGAACAAAGCCTAGTGAAGGTGGGGCAGGCCCCGGTGGGGTCAAGGTGCAGAAACCAAGCCTCCTGAATCTCTTATCTTCCCAGAGCCATCCTGCTCCCCAGGGACAACGTCATCTCGGAGCAACGGCAGCTCCAGTGTGTCCTACACCAGCTTCCTCCTGGTGGGCTTCCCGGGGCTGCAGGACTCCCGTGCCCTCCTGGTGTCGCCCTTCCGCAGCCTCTACGGGGTGATCATCTCTGCCAATGCGCTGGTCATCCACACGGTGGTGGCCCAGCAGAGCCTGCATCAGCCCACGTGCCTGCTCGTCGCCCTGCTCCTGGCTGCCAACATCAGTGTTGCCACCGCCGTGGTGCCCGCCATGATGTTCAGCTTCTCCACCCACCTCAACCGCAGCTCCCTGTCTCACTCTGCTCCAGATGTTCTGCATCTACTTCCTCATTGTCTTTGACTGCAACATCCTGCGGGTCATGGCCCTGGACCGCTATGTTGCCGTCTGCTACCCTCTCCGCTACCCCAAGAGAGTGACGGGCCAGGTGCGGCCAGGTGCCGGCTGGCCTGCTGGGGGTGGCACCTGCATTGGAGCTCCGGTGGTGGGGCTGGCCTCCCAGCTTCGCCTCTGCCGCTCAGACGTAATCCACCACTTTGCCTGTGAGCACATGGCCCTCATGAAGCTCTCCTGTGGGGACATCTCCCTGAACAAGACTGGGGCTCACAGAGTACTGGACGTGCTGCTACTTGGAGCTTCCTACTCCCGCATCATCCACACCGCCTTCTGGATTTTGTCCGGCAGAGCACGTTCCAAGGCCCTGAACACCTGTGGCTCCCACCTGCTGGTCATCTTCACAGTCTATTCTTCCACCATGTCCTCACCCATCGTCTACCGGGGGGCTCGCACCACCTCCCAGGACGAGCACAACCTGCTCAGCGCCCTCTACTTGCTGCTCCCGTGTCTAGTAAACCCCATCATCTATGGAGCCAGGACCAAGGGAAACAGGCAGCACCTGGCAACTCTGTTCCAAAGGGCACAGCTACCAGCACGGTCTCTGCCCTCGCACAGGGAGCTTCCTGCCTGACTCTTTGGGACTTGGAGGTCCTACAGTCACTCTCACTAGCAAGCGGGTAAGTGTGCGAGTCGGTCATCCCTGCTGTATTTTGGCTTTGACAATCTGCATTCATCTTTGAGAGTCTTTGATCCGTTTTCTGAAAGCAGCTACTAATCCAGAGTTACACAGTAATCAACTACAAAGTAAGCTTCTGTCTCTGCCTTCTAATTTTTCTCCCCTTCTTTCTGCATGTGATTTTCGTTCATTCATGCATCATTCATCAAACATCTATTTTACATACATCATGCTAACCTCGTGATTGCCAAGAAAGAAAAAAAAAAAAGTCTCTTCCCTGAAGGAGGCTCCAGGCTATAAAGTTTCCAAGGTAGAAAGACATGTAATGTTCAACAATAGCTTTATGTACAAAATTCTGTGGGAACACAGAGAAAGGACAATTACTAAGACAGAACACTTCACAGAGAAGGTGAATTTGAGTTGTGTTTGAAACATAAGATAAGGTGTTTGCAGGAGAGGAAGGAGATAGAAGAAAAGGCATTCCAAGCCAAAGCCGCAGCAGGGGCAAAGGCACAGAGGCAGGGTAGACATGGCAGAGCGGGCACTCCCCTCCAGTCCCAGTCTCCCTGGCACAGGGGCAGATGTGGGCCAGGCGGTGAAGGAGGCCAGATGGGCAAGCAGAGGCCAGCTGATGAAGGGCCTCATCTATCATGATAAGGAGTTTGTGGTTTACTCCAGGCAATATGTAACCACGTAAGAGTCCAAAGCAGCAAGGTGGCAAGGTCCTATCTGCATTTTGGAACGATGGCTCTGCAGCCCTAATAGAGTGTTGTGGGAAGAAATAAGATGGTTGGAAAGAAAGACACTAAAATAAAAGACTTCAGAGGTAGTACATTTATGGGTAATGGTCTAGAGTATGACCATATATTTGTGACCTGGACTTGATGGACAGTATGTCACTAGTGTTGAAGGAACCAAATGATTAAACAAAGATTGAGTACAGAACATTGACATGAATGCACTGTACTGTCGTCCAGAAGAATGGCAGGAGTTGGGGAGGAAAGGTAGGCTGAGCCAGTGTCCTCTATGAAAACAGGAAAAGGATCTTGAAGCTGTTAGAGAACAAGGATGAGAAAGGAAGGGAATACAACACTGGAAATTGAGACCAGACTACACTTGCAAAGCCATCAGAGAGGGAGCCTTTTGTAATTTGCACAAAAGTATGCCATGTACTAGACACAGCTTTGATCAAAAGACACCAAAGGAAACTAAAAAGGTAAGCCACAGATTTGGGGAAGATATTTGCAATAAATTTAACCAAAAAGGAACTAGTATCTAGAATATGTAAAGAACAACTACAAATCAATAAGAAAAAGACAGACAATAGTAAAATAATAGTAAAATAGGCAAAAGACTTAAACAGTCACTTCAAAAAGTAAGCATAAGAAAAGGTATTTGACCTCTAGCCTCTCACATATAGATGTTCAAGTTGCGCACTGTACAACTTCACACATCTATTGTGTAAACATAGCAGATTTGTACATGTATTACAAAATTTCCCAGCAGATGACAATGAAATTCTCATGTATTACTAGGGAGGTTGTAGACTGGTGAACCATTTGGAAGACAACTTGCCATTATCTAGTGAAATTGAAGATATGTACACCCCATGACCCCATAAACAAAATAATGTCCTTCAGCAATAAAATGTGTAAATAGATTATGGTATATTCATACATTAAAATGCTATCAACAATAAAATACAGTCACAAGTACAATATCCATTCATGATAAAAATCTTCTGCAAAGTAGTTCTAAAGGAAATATACTTCAACATAATAAAGGCCATATCTGAAAAACCCACAGCTAATATCATACTCAATGGTGAAAAACTGAAAGCTTTTCCCCAAAGGTCAGGAAGAAGACAAGGATGCCCACTCTTACCACTTTTATTCACCATAGTACTGGAAGTCCTAGCCATAGTAATTAGACAACATAAAGAAATAAAACACATCCAAACTAGTAAGGAAGAAGTAAAGCTCTCACTGTTTGCAGATGACATGATATTCTATATAGAAAACCCTAAAGACTCCACCAAAACTACTAAAACTGATAAATGAATTCAGTTAAGTTGCAGGATACAAAATCAAAGTACAGAAATCTGTTGCATTCCTATATACTAATAATGAAGCAGCAGGAAGTGAAATTAAGAAAACAATCCCATTTACAGTTGCACCAAAAAAATAAAATAGGAATAAATTTAACCAAAGAAGTGAAAGACCTATACTCTGAAAACTATAAAATAGCGATGAAAGAAATTCAAGATGGCACAAAGAAATGAAAAGACATTCTCATGGGTTAGAAAAATAAATATTGCTCAAATGTCTATAATACCCAAAACAATCTACACATTTAATTCAATCCCTATCAAAATACCAACAGCATTTTCCACAGAGCTAGAACAAACAATCCTAAAATTTGCATGGAACAATGAAGACCTCAAATAGCCAAAGCAATCTTGAAAAAGAAAAATAAAACTGGAGGTATCACAATTCTGGACCTCAAATTATATTACAAAGTGGCAGTAACTAAAACAGTATGGTATTGGCATAAAAATAGATCAGTAGAATAGAAAACCCAGAAATAAACCCACAATTACATGGTCAATTAACCTTAAACAAAGGAGGAATGAATACCCACTGGGAAAAAGATAGTTTCTTCAACTAATGGTTTTGGGAAAACTGGACAGCTACATGCAAAAGAATGAAATTGTACCCCTTTCTATACCATACACAAAAATAAACTCAAAATGGAAAAAAGACCTAAATGTGAGACCTTAAACCATAAAAATCCTTGAAGAGAGCACAAGCAGCAATTTCTCTAACATCAGCAAGGGAAATAAAAGCAAAAATAAACTATTGGAACTATATCAAAATAAAAAGCTTCTACACAGCAAGGAAATGATCAACAAAACTAAAAGACAACCTACTGAATGGGAGAAGATACTTGCAAATGACATATCCAATAAAGGGTTAGTATCCAAAATATATAAAGAACTGATACAATTCAACACCAAACAAAACCCCAAATAATTCAATTTAAAAATGGGCAGAAGGCATGAACAGACATTTCTCCAAAGAAGACATACAGATGGCTAACACACACATGAAAAGATGCTCAACATCACTCATCGTCAGGGAAATGCAAATCAAAACCACAATGAGATATCACCTCACACCTGTCAGAATGGCTAAATCAAAAACACAAGCAACAAGTGTTGGCGAGGATGTGGAGAGAAAGGAACCCTCGTGCACTCTTGGTGGGAATGCAAACTGTGCAGCCCACTCTGCAAAATAGTATGGAAATTCCTCAAAAAGTTAAAAATAGGGATGCCTGGGTGGCTCAGTCGGTTAAGCGTCTGCTTTCGGCTCAGGTCATGATCTCAGGGTCCTGGGATCGAGTCCAATATCAGCCTCCTTGCTCAACAGGGAGCCTGCTTCTCCCTTTGCCCGCCACTCCCCCTGCTTGTGCTCTCTCTCTCTCTGACAAATAAATAAATAAATAAAATCTTTTTTAAAAAAGTTAAAAATAGAACAACCTTATGATCTAGTAATCACATTACTTGATATTTACCCAAAAAATACAAAAACACTAATTCAAAGGGATACATGCAACCCTGTATTTATAGCAGCATTATTTACAATAGCCAAACTATGGAAGAAGACTGTGTCCATCAGTTGATGAATGGATAAAGAAGAGGTGATATATACATACAATGGAATATTACTCAGCCATAAAAAAAAAAAAAGAAATCTTGCCATTTACAACAACATGGATAGAGCTAGAGAGTATAAAGCTAAGCAAAATAAGTCAGTCAGAGAAAGACAAATGCCATATGATTTCACTCATATGCGGAATTCAAGACACAAAACAAATGAGAAAATGGAAAAAAAGAGAAGGAGAGAGAGAGGCAAACCAAGAAACAGACTCTTAACTATAGAGAACGAACTGATGGTTACCAGAGGGGAGGTCAGTAGGGGAATGCGTGAAATAGGTGATGGGGACTAAAGAGTACATTTATCGTGATGAAAAAATATAAACATATATATATAATTTAAAAAATTAAAACAATAAAATACAGTATCATGCAACATGAATGAATTTTTCAATCATAATATATTTTTCCTATTTTTCTAAATCTCCTCAGGATATAATGGATTGTAGAAAGCCAAAAATATATACAATGTATTGGGGGGTTTGTAATTTATGTAGCAATAAAACAACCAGTACAGTACACAAACACTGGGGGAGGGGAAATGGAAGAAGCCTGTGGTCAGGATCTCATACTGTTTGTTGAAGTGGAATAATACAACTCAAAATAGACTGTGGTCAGTTGAAGATGTGGACCATACATGCTAAAGCAACCTCTAAAATGACACAACCAAAGCACAGCTAACACGCTAGGAAGTAGAATCGAATCATAAAATACTCAGTCCAAAGAAAGCAGGAAAAAAAGGAAAAGAGGAGCTTTGCAGTTCTGCTATTTTCAAATTCCAGAGGACAAAGTGGTGAGGCCTCCCTGGAGGAGCCAGCCCCTGCCTCTGTGGGTCTCAGCTCTTCACAGCAGAGCCCACACCGAAGTCACCGCCTGCCCCAGTTCCTGTGCCGCCTGCACTGGGCAAGTAAATCCCTCAGCCATCTCCGTGTGGTGCGCGCGCGTGCACACACACAGTGCACCTAAATCAGGTCCCTGGCTCTCCCACTGTCACCCAGGTGTCCTTTCCTGTCTTCGGATGACCCTGAGTGCCTATGTAATTCCCAGACTGCAAAAGCCCCTTCCCTTCAGCTGAGCCTCAGGCCATTTCTGGGTGCCCCTGGGACGGAGCCTGACCTGCACCCTGACTTGTTCTCTCGAAGCCTCTAACGGCTCAACTGTAAAATGAGGGAAATCCCTCGGCAGATGTGACTTCTCTCTGAGAAATACCAAGAGCCGTAGAAATGAAAATGTTAGTACA